TGACTCAGTCAACATTATGAACATTAATTTTTGAACCAAGCCATTATACAATAAATCCTTAGTGTATAAAGAAATATTTTTCCCTTTACTAAATGACCCCAGACTCTGATTACTATGTCTGATTTCTATAAAGTTCTCTCGGCTCTCTGGTAGGTTATTAGTTCTGACTTCCGGTCATTGCTACACCTGTCTTTGGCAGTTCAGTGTTTCCTTTATTTGACATTGCTAAAATCTTAAACTGAGGGACCAGAAACAGGGGGAGGGGAGCTAAAATAATAGTAAAAAGCCTCTAAATCAGAGCATACATTTTCCCATGTAAGCCTGCAAGTAAAGGTTACTAACTTTAAATGAGCTGATTTTGTAGTATATATTTTAGCTGCTATGAGACTCCCTTCTCCCTCAACACTAGTGCTTCTGGAAGATGAACTCTGCCTAAATGAAGATTTTGATATTATAAGAAATATAGGTCTAAAGGGAATAAAGTAAAACTACAAAATATAAAGGAAGATCTCTCACCTTGGTTGAAACCTCGGCAATCAAATTCTGTTTATTTGGATCCACAAAATCCACAGGCTGACCTTCAAATTCGATCTTCCCAAGCATGGTTCCCTATCAAATTAAAAAGCAAATTAGACAGTTAAAAGGAAGCAACTATGAAGGTGCTGACAGGATAAACTCACAGGGACTTTAAACAGCTGCTCCAAGATTTAGATGTCTTTATAACTACTCATAGCCATCAGCAGAAGATCTTCATCTTCTCAAACTGGAAAGATTAAGTAATTTGCACATACATTTTGAGAAACATTCTGGGAAATACAATTAGTTCTTTTAGGGCTGAGACTGTTGCCTCGTGTAAGCAAAGTCAAAAGGCAACAGAATTTGGTTCTCTAGGCTCCAGACTGGTGCAAATTGGAGTATTTAGTGCCCTTCTATACTCCTTAGTGCATACAACCTGAAGACATTTAATGAAAGAGGTGGATAAAACAAACTATTGAAAAGAAAAGAAGAAATCTAAAAATCACAAAAATGGATAGAATGAGAATTTATTACATTGCGATAGTAAAATTAATTCATAAAAAAGGTGAACTGCAACTTAAGTCACAAACTTCTAGAAGCTGCAATGAAAATATTCACTGCTTTAGACGTGTTAATGTCCAGGTATCCTTAAGGGCCTGAACTTTAAAGAATATTCTCAACCCTCTGTGAAGTTTTCATAAATTAGCCCGCCTAGCTTAAACATGGCAATGTTTTCCTCTTTTTATTAGCTGTATCTTGAGATTTACTTATTTGTTAGTAAGCCTACTTTAAGCTATTTAGGGAAATGGCATGCTATATTTAGTAATCAACATTTTATTGAGGTAGAAAAGTTCAAAATAGTTCATTGATTTTCCCTTCTCCTAGGAAATACTGCATTGAATGAAATAGAAGGAAGACTTTACTTCCCTTTTCAACTTAATCCTTGGGGGAGAAATCACTGGGAGTGGTGGAGTTAGAAGGAGCCTGAACACCATGCAGGCATGATGGTTATTTCAGTGCTATTACTAAAACCAGAGTGTTGCCTCAAAGTTTGGGAAAACTAACTAAAAACCACCTTTCCCTTCCACACTGGATTACTAAATTTCATGGTGGTCTGTATCTACTTTTAGAATCCAAGTCACATAATCCCTTGACTATACTTATAGATCCCTAATTTTGAAATTTGGGTTTCAGTTCTCCTTCCTTTTTCCTTAAAACATGCTGAATGAAATACAATCTTACTTTTCTGCCTAAGATTAATAGAAATGAAAGCTGCAATATATTAATACATTTTAAACACGAACCAATAAATAGAAGAGACAACACTACTATCTGGTCTGTGATCACCTATTCAGCCAAATTTTGAAAACCTAACTGCCTATTTAAAATGAAGGTTCATTTAAATCTAACACATCACATGAAGGACACGTGTAAAGAATTTTCCTAAATTATTAGTCCTTACTATACTCTATTCAACCTGCCCATTCTGCAGCCTGAAAAGGTTTTCCCAATGTTATTCCCTTCCCATCCTGGTAGCCTCATCATTGTTTACTGCTTGAACACATCATTAGGCTAAGAAAACACAAGAATCTACCTGGGATGTATAATTTTGCTAACATCTACTCCCAGGAAAATCATGGTGAAGGGAATAAAACCAGAGCTGGAATAGAATGATTGTATAAACTCTCCCTGTATTCCCTCTGATCATGGGTATGTGGCCATATTCTTATTTTCAAAAATAAGATCTTTCTTTCTGTTTCCAGAGAGCCTGTGTCAATATATATTCTGACAAGGAAATCTACAACAGATTATCTTCAAGAATCTCTTTCACATATATACTTTCAAATTGGATCATTTATCTTTTTCTTTTTTACATAATAATATTCATCGAGAAACTTTACTTGCATTTGAGGAATTTAGTTAACATTAGTGAGGTAAAATTTCTTTTTGATGTGGGATACGAAGGTTTCATGTAAAAATAATAGTGTCAACATCATATAGCAAGAAGGAGCAAGCAGATGGTGATGAGATATTCTCAGAGGAGGGGTCAGATGTTCCAGCAATCAGATATGAAAGCAAAAGATAACCTTTCCCTTTATCACCTTGGTCATGGATAGTGTCAAGAAAGACTATATAATTGAGGTAACACATGCAGGGCCCATTTGGCACATTCGTGAAGGGTAACTCACTAATTTCATGGATAATTCTTCCAAGAGGACGAAACAAAAGACGGCACCAATACCATACACTTCCTGGTTTGCGTTTTCCAGCATGTAGGCACTCAATTTAGGGAAAATTGTTATGCACTGAGTTACCGTCTCCACTTGATTCACTTAAGTCTTGTCACATGAGCTGAATTGTAAATGCCTTGACTTGTTTGTATAATGAACACGTAGTGAGCACTCAACAAACTGCCAGGTGAATTAATCTCAAGTCCATTCAGTTACAAACACGCCAATCAAGCATTCAGTTTTGAAAATTACCTCAGAAATAGTAAAGCAGAATAGCAGAGACCCAAACTGCAGAAGCTGGCCATATTCATCCTTTTACATATTAATGGATCCCTCAGGCACTGAGAAAAAAAATATGTGAAGAAACATAGATTTGGCTAAAGATGATGATCCTACCTTATCCCGAATTATTTTAGTCAGCATTCTTGTGTCCACCCCATAAATTGCAGGAACCTATAAGAAAAAAATTGTAGTGACAGTGAAATTGGAGGAAATTAAATCCAGCATTTTGTTTTCAAGTTACAAACTTAGCCTCATCTATCTTCTTGAGCAGTAAATAATTTCTCCACTCTTTCTTTTCTCTGACCCAGGGTGACTGTGTTGTCAGAACACGGTAAATTGCCGCTGCAGCTGGGCACAGGACTCTTAATACCCAGGTCCTTTCTCAGAATAAAAAATGAGAAGTTCTGAACATCAATCTACTGCTATAGTTCGGTTGCTTTTAACCCAGGATATTAAATAAGTAAAATCATGTATATATGATATGTGTAAATACATATATGATATATATGTAAATATATACATATAGGAATTGGTGAACTTCATAAGCAATAATATGCAAATTTGTGTTTTGAACCAAATGTTCCTGGCACATAGTAGGCACTTCACACAGTTTTCTGAAGGGCTCTGTAGTCATGCTGTACTAAAACTTGCTTATCCTATTAGTCAATCAGGCAAAACCACCATTTGTTTTAGTTTCTTTGACTAGATTAGATAGAAACAGATGCGGTATAATGAAAGAGTAACAAGTTAGGAATCACGAAAACAGGTTCTAATTTCTTTTCTTCTACCAATTATCTGAAAGGTGTTTAAGCAGTATGTTTGTTCTCGCCTGTAAATAGAAAGAAGTGAACTGGTTATTATCTCAGATCTTTTTCTACTCTACCTGCCCATGATCATGGAAGAAGATTCAAGGCACATTTGAAAACCAAACTAACAAGCCATTGGTTAGGGTTACACTAAAACTATTAGTTCTGGCATAAAGAAGCTATAATATCAGGTTCCTTAAATAACAAAAAGGAAACATTT